AGTACCCTTCACCCCTAAATATTTCAGCATGATACAAATACTTTTATTTTCTCTTGTAATTTAAAAATACCTTGCTAAGAGATAATAATTAACAAAATGCATTTCTTACTGTGCACTAAGTCACTAGGAGGCTAGTTAACTTGTCCATTAGAGCTTGGTGCTTATGAGGTGATGGCATTAATTTTAATCTCCCTGATGGGTCAGCGACTTATTTTCTTTGCCATGGGTACATATTAAAGTCCTAAAAACATTTAGTCATACTGAAACTTAACGTATTTTACACTAGGGAGTAATATGAAAGCGTACATGAATCTTCAGTTATGGGCAAATCAGTGAGCAGCCCCTACTGATGGTGTTAATGAAAGACATTCTGTAAATTATTCATTTATATACTCAGTGACTGTGAAACACATTTGAAAAAATACAGTCAAATAATAACAGTTTTTTTTCACCTTCTAGGTGTACCATATTTACAGATATGAATGCTTTATATTATTTTAGATATTTATTTCTAATGCAGGTTAGCTCTTCAACAGAATGCAAATTATGTTGCTGCTGTTGTTGCGGGGGAAGTAATTAGGTTTACTTATTTATTTATTTATTTTTTAGAGGAGGTACTGGGGATTGAACTCAGGACTTCTTACATGCTAAACTTGCACTCTAACAGTTGAGCTATATCCTCCTCCCTTAGAATGCAAATTATTAAAGAGTCTGATATAACCAGAGTAGTCTTTGCACCAATCATATAACAAGCAATCAGTCTTTGATTTCTCATTAAAAAACTGAGGCACCCTAATTAACAACAATTTAATGCTACGCTGTTGAAATAATGAATGAACAATATGACTCATCACATTTACACAGTTTTCTTCATTTTACCTCATGTGCTTTAAAGTCCAAATTTATCTGGATTTATTCAATTTTATTGATTTTTCTTCTGAAGATTGGTAATTTTTAATCATCTATTTCTGACATATATTTATATATCACATATATATTAGCTTAGAAGTGCTATATGTAGACAAAGTAAGGTGTTACTATATTTATATTTCATATTATGCTGTAAAATAAGTAATTCTTCATATAATAAAGCAGTCTCCAACTTTTAAGTATTTTATAAGAATGCTGGAGCTTGATTCTAATAACCTGAAGGAATAAGGAGATTGTCAAGAACAATAAAATTCCAAAATTCTCTGTTGAGAAAAACAAGCCTCTCTTTAAGACTTATGATCCTGACAGCATTCTAATTCAATATTGAATACTTTTAAGCTGCTTACCAACTTAGGAGCAAACTCCATCCATTCCCTTATGTGTTGTTTCTATTTCCCTCCAAAGCTATCACCTATTTATAACCCAGATTCATTTAGTATAAATGATACACTCAACAGACCGCTAGCAAAAGTTAAGAAATTGACATGTCTTTATAAAAGGACCAATCTGTCTACCAAGAACATCATTCGCATAATAGATAGTAAGAAGAAAATAGTTATGCCATGCGAATATCTTACAAACTACAAACCCTTCATAGAAATTCCCACAAGAAACCTATCACAAAAAGTAATAGTTCTAACACATTTTGTTTGGAATAATGATGCCATTAACACTTGGCACCACAGTTCCCAAATGGAAGTGAGTTTGCATAATAGTTTACTTTACTCTTTATAAAGATAAAAACAGTAAGTCACTGTGCAGGGAAGCTGACATGCTTCAGGAATAAATGCCACTTAGAAATATAGAAAGTCTCACGATCCCTGACACAAGCCTACTATTTAAGTCAGGTTTTTAAAAAAAAAGATCTGGGCTTTGACTCTATTTCTTCATTTTATAAAAGAGTCATTCTTACTTGCTTAGATGGATAAAGAAAGTCCATACTAAAAACGTGGCAGTAAATAAATAAGTTATGTTAATATCAAACAAGGTAACAATTGTGATGTTAATGCTGAAATACTGGTGTAGTTTACTAAATGAAAATAACTTCAATAAAAGATTGTGGCTATTTTCAAAATATTAACAGAAAGATTTTTAATTCATTTTCCCATGTGAGACTAAGTTCTGAAAAAGATGCTTCTACAAAGAAGTTAATAATCTGGTATCCCTAAACAGGTCCACACTGTACAATTTATGTATCTTTTCTCCACTATTTGATGCTTGCCTTAAACCTTATATATTTTATCTAAAGTGCTCAAATATTCTGATGTCTGGGTCCTTCACACTGTGCCTAAAGATGATCAGCCATTTCCTTTTTAATTTTTCTTTCCCAAAACTTGTAAGTAGAGGAAAAGCATTAATGCATAGCTTTACATGCATCATCACTATTTGGAGAAAACAAAAGAGAATAAAATAACAAAACTTCTGCTGGCCAGAGGTGTAGTCCCCTTCCCCAAGAATATTCTGTTTTCAAATTTTCACTTTAGTCAACTAAAGCACACTGATTTGCAACATCACTCAGAAGTTTTTCTATTCTACTGAAAGCAAAAGCTCAGAATCCCTTGGTCTCTCACAAATTCCTTACTTTAACTTCTTCACCCATTCCCACCAACTGCGCCTCTTGTGTCTACCGGCTTGGTAAATCACATCAATCTCTCATTGCAGCCGCTAGCTTTTCCCTGACTGATCCTAGTCTCTTGGTCCGTTGACCCCCTTTGGTTATTCCTCCTTTTCCTAGTCATACTAGACCCTAAAATTAACTTACTCTGACAATAACGACTCTTGCACCTGAAAATTCTGTAACCAATTGTAAGCATATGAAGCAACTGAGAGAGGACTGTAACAATTATGGTTTCCACACTGCCATCTCCAAATACTCCCTTTCAGCAAGTCACAGAGGCATATTCAGGAGTCTGGATTAGCCATGAAGACACTCTAGGTGGTATGAGACTCCATCTAACCACTTTTGACAAGCCACTAATTTTAAAGTTGGCTCCCAAATCTATAGTACGAGATTCAAATTTTCCTCCAAGCTCTAATCTTCATCTGTCTTTACTACTTAGTTCCTGGACTATTATATTTTCAAAGCTCCTTTTCCAGCCTCCCTCACTTCAATTCTCCATTCATATGCAAACCACATTCATACTCTTGAAGGTGTTTTGATAAAAGTCACCTGGCAGGCAATGGGAGTCTTTTGTTGTTTTACATGTAACTTGGTGAGTTTTCGAGGTCCTCCTCAATCTGACCCCAAACTTTTATTTGGGATCTATCTCTCACTATTCCTATATTTGCAAATAAAATGCCATCTTATTCTCACTTAATCCTCATATTTTTGAACCCCACTCTTATGTATGAGAACACAACTGACAATGGAAGCGATTTGATGTGGCTGCAGTTCCTCACTTTCAGAGCAGGATCTAGCATGACAGGTGCTGCTTTCTCTTCCTCACACTGTCCTGCAGATGGTAGGATTTCCGTAACCATTATGTGATTGGAGGAAGGAAGCAGGAAAGACAGGAAAGAATGGAGTGAGAGAAGAAAGGACTAACAAGTATTAAGAAATACAAACCATTATTTACATCATAACTATTTCAGAGATACCATACCTATTATATCTTTCCCCCAAATATATAATGTATGGATAAAAACTGAACTAGATGTTATTTTATTAAGTTGCAAATGGAAGTATTAAAAATAATGTACAGCTCAGTTCTCTGAGGAACCACGAAATAATTAAATTTCCAAGCCTAAAAGAATGCCAAACTACATAGTGATTTGATTGAAAAAATGAAAAGGCAAGATATTACCTTCTAGGATACAAGCCCTAAGGAGCTGACTA